CAGTGTCTTACTATTCAAACTATCAAATACGGTCTAGCTCTGTGGTCCCCAACCCCCTGGCCACAGACTGGTACTGGTCCGCAATACGTTAGGGACTGGGTGGCAGAGGTCTGTGGAAGAATTGTCTTCCATGAATCTCAGGGAACGGGAGTGGCGGACACACAGTAGGAGGTGAGCGGCAAGTGAGCGAAGCTTCATCTGTATTTACAGCCGCTCCCCATCACTGGCATCACCGCCCGAGCTCCGCTCAGCCCCCTACCCACCCGCCCTGTCTGTGGAAAAATTGTCCTTCATGAAACTGGTCCCTGTTGCCAAAAAGGTTGGAGACCGCTGGGACTCCAGCTCATAAAGGGGAGGGGTGGGAAGACTCCAATAGTGTTGTAAAGAGTAAACGAGATTTAAGACAGTGTACACACAAACACTTCACACAATGTAAAGTCATGTAGATGTAGACATTAGTCATAGAACATCTGGTTATCACTTTTTATCTCTCTTAACTTCTTCAATGTTCTCATGCTCCAAATTGTGAAATTCCCTTTTATTTAAAATAATTTCAGAGTCCATGGTATCTGATGTGAATACCTATGCATACGGGTGAAGGAGATAGACATACTCTTTTAACAAAACGAGGTATAGGTAACATTGCCGGCGTTCTACTCAGCTAGCTGGCCCTCCCTCCTTCCTTTTTCTCTCACATTTGTTGCCTCTCCAGGTTGGGGCTGGGAATTCATCTAATTTTAAAAGAAAATCAAGTGCCATGCACAGAACACGGGCAGAGTGCAGGGCTGCAATGCTATCTTTACCATTTAATTTAGATTGGATTACGAGAGGCTTAAGCTGTTGCCTGGGGTCTCCGGGGAGCGAAAGTGACCTTCGCGAAGTATGAGCTAGTGTCTGATTCTTATTCTGTGCTCCGGCAGCAAACCTCTTCCTTTCCTCAGGAATTCCAAAGGGAATAGTCAGGTGTAATATTTAGCCTTGGGGCAGAACGTAATGTGTTTGCGTGAAATCCAGCTTTCTCTGGTAGCTGTTACATTGTTTCTTATTTTAACGTGACCCATTAATTTGGCTGCCTGTAGCATGTTTATGAGGCCAAGAATGGACCAGCTAGTTTATTCTGTTTGTAGTTTATACCCCTGAGCTTGGTGAGTCATTTTACAAATGCGTGACATGGTCATAAGGGAAATTCAGTAGAAAAGCACTGTAAAAAAATCATCGGAATCCGTGACTGACATGACAAAATCTATTTCCAATCTTCATTTACGGACAACTTTCTGGTATCCTCTTCATATACAAAGGATGATCTTTAACATGTAGAGTAAATTTTTAAAATTTATTTTTACTTTCCTCAACTTCAAGCAAACCTACCTTAAGAAGTGCAAGTCGTATAACTTATATTCAACTTGGCCAAAGAAAATATCTGCAACCTAAGTAGTGGAGGCAGCATAAATTAAGTTCAAGTTGGTGAAAAAAAAAAAAAATCTGCAAAAGAAAGCTCTATTTGAAAGGAAAAAAACAAGAGGTGGAAAAATTATTTAGGGTGAGTTAAGATGGCTATGCAATAAAATTAAGAAAAGGGGTACATATTTATATTAAAGAACAGAAGTCCTTGTGTGACCTGAAGTTTATTAGGCTTTTTCTCATCAACTTAGGGAACTTTTTTCCCTA